ATGAATATTAATTAACAAATTAATCGCTGTAAAGCGTGCTCGCGGACCATTACGAATCACTGTTGTACGCGTGAAAATATGAATTCCGCGATGCGCGACGTTAAACTAAACGTTGCATGAAACGAAATACCCATTGACGTACACGCTAAATATTTACGCAACCGCGACGGAACGAGCGCGCGAGAATTTGTAAATTAACAATTAACGCGGCATCTCCGTCATCACACGCCGGTAGCAAATATTTATTCGCCATATAGACGTGCACGTTTGTAGGACCTTACAATAGTGCAGTTATTAGAGGAGATATATCTTTATTTACAGACATTCACATGAAATCGTTTTGGAAAAATTTTGCTGTCACAGACTTTATAATTTGAAAAAAAAAAAAAACATTATACTACATTATCTCTTTTATATAAAAAAGAAAAAGCTTTTATCATTATAAATTTAGAAACTGATCAACGATTTCAATAATCCGAACTGTTTCTCAAGTTTATGTGGCATGTTTATGTTATATTTTTGTTTATAATTTTTATTATTTTTGTTTATAATTTATCATCGGCGATAGTATCAAACTAAGGAATTAAAAATTAAAGAATTTCGTGCTTAGCAGTCGATATGTTTCTGTGCTCTTATATAAATCTGTGTCTCATACATATATGAAAGTTTAATACGATATTTTCAAGGGGTTTCCTTATCAACGCATAGAAGAGATCTTGAACGTAACTTGGAGTTTTGCCAGAATATTTTCGATCTATTTTACAGAAGGAGTTCGTGATAGTACCCGTTGGTCATGAGAACTCGCGTGGTACGAGGGTCTGAAGGGTAGGGCAGGGGTGGATTTGGAGGTTGGTCCCGTGTCGAGGTGGGGCAAAGGTGACCCCCGCGGATCAATACCGCCGCCGGTCGAGCGCCTCCATAGCGTTCGAACTACCGACGTTCTCGTATTTCGTCTCGAAATCAAATGCCATTTGGTCCAGACCGATTCGTGTAGGTTATTTCCAAATGAATCTGTTGCGAGTGGTTTAATTTTTTGATATACCGAGTATATTCGTTGAAAAAAACGGACGTGAATTTTTTACACGAGCTTTTAGACAGCTTAGAAATTTTTTAGAAATTTTTTCTAACCACAGAGAGATGGGATAGTTTGAAACTGAGCGACAGTATTTTTATATTTAGAATGAGGATTCACTTCTGAAAAAGAATAAAAGATGTTTAATGACCAACATGAATCCTTTGAACACATGTTTGTGTAACATAATAAACTTTCAATAATTAAAATGATTTTGGAGTATATTATTACATACATATTTTTGGCAGTAAAAGCTTTATGTTTGAATTAATTCAACAAAAACCAAAACTCTCGTTTTCAATTATACACAGATCTGAAACTTTATTAAGGTCAAAATTAGAAGACATTTCAAAGCTTTGTTAATTATTATGTAACAATCCTCGTCCATGCTAATCTAACTTTCGGTGAATAACATAACAAAGCAATGATACGGGCTTTTGCTTATTGTTTCGAGTGTTTTAATTGGCCGAATCGGTGCGCAAACGACTGAGGAAGTCGATTTCAGTACTTTCTCTTCGTTCTACACTCAAGGCGATATCGTTCCCGCTGACGACGTCCGCCGCGGTTAAGAGAGATAAATGCCATTAATGGACTTCAAATGAAACGCCTGCTCTATAGCGGTCAGTACCGTGACGAGTGCCAAGAACGGCCCGCGCAGCTCAAAGGGCATCTTACTCATTTACTTCCCGCGCAGCGGGAAATTAAATTCGCGGTTTCTCGACCGCGTTTCCTGTTCGCCGTGCGGCAACACAATCATAATGATTTATTCATTTGCCATAGCGCGATGATTAATTATGAGTGTTTCACAATTATTTGGAAAGACATTCGAGACCGAGGTATTACGTTCGATCACCGTTTCCAGCAAAGCAAAACGCTTTGATCGACGTTATTTGTAGGATTTTCTTTTTGAAACTAATATATACTAATATATACCTAATTGTTGTGCAAATTATATTGTTTTCATCAAATCAGAACGCGAGTTAGAAAAGTTAGATGTTTATACCCGAGATCGCCACTTGCTTTCGCGACATTTCGCGTGAGCTCTTCTTCTAGACAAGATGCAAGTCTAATTTACTTCAAACTTTGTGCTGAAAGTCTGATGAACAAACGAGTATCAACGAAGCGCGACGAGTTTATGGCGAATATACAGGGCTATCCACTAGACTTATTAACAAACAACAATTAGCCAACGGAAAGTTCCATCAAACTATCCAGAATATATCACAATAATTGTTGATATAATTATTATCTACTTTCTTATTTGTACTATGTCTATACTGTCAGATCCAAGAGATGATTAACACGCGCAAATTTAATCTCGGAGAGTTGTCTTAGCATTTTGCTTCCCTTTTCACTATAATAATGAATATCAGAATAACTCGATACTCGCGACTTTCGCTCACTCATCGCGATTAGTAATCCCGATTTTTCTATCGGTGCAAGGGATATTTTTCATGAATTTCCACAGGAGACTCCTTTTTCCTGGCACTGATTATCGCGAGTGAAACCGAATCGACCGGATTCAGGATGCCAATGTCCGGTGTCCACGACCGGAAACCAGCACGACGACGAACGGATACGATGAACGATCGAGTTACGATTAACATACGTTACGTTATGTCACAGGCTTGAGAAAAGATCGAATTGGATTATTTCTCATTTCTAATTGTACCGCCAATTAGAATTTTGAACCGCTAATACAAAAATTTATTATGATTGTAGATATTTCTTTGTGCATTTTCTAACATAAAAATAGAATAAAGATGTAATCAAATGTTAACAGGAAAATAAGTTTATGAAGTTACGAAACGTATTATATGTATTTTCGTTTGAGTCTCTAGAAAAATATTAAGGTGCGATTCTCTCTAGAAAAATGTTACATTCTTTTTTATTTAGAACAGAATTTCTGGTCAAATTATATTTATTATATCGTCTGGTACTCGCACGAAGAGTTACCTATTATTGCTTTCAAGTCCTATTACTATTTTTCATTTGTTCTTCGCGCTTTTCTTCTTTTCACCAAGTATGTAAGAATTATCATCACGTTAACCTTGTCTGCTCTGGCATATCATGCTATATTTCTATCAAGAAAGTCATTGTCTTATCCGGATATTTCTACGCGTTCGTGAACCTTCATTTCTACGTTAATCACATCCTGTCACATTCTGAGGTAATGATTATACCTACAGATCGCGTTAATTTCATAGAGAAATTGGTAATAGTAACATTCTTGAATGATCGGAGAACGCAAAGGAATTTATACTTAAAGTTGTTAACCTTGTAAGTGACGTAACATTTCCCTATAATAATATAGTATAATAAAGTAAGCTTGAAAATCATAAAATGTAAATTGCATCTCGATTTACGTGAATAAACTACGATACCACGATTGATTTAATATTGTTGCATTTAAAAATTCTACTTATGCTGTTCTACTTATGCTGCTCTTGAACTAAATAAATCAGTCATTTGCATAACTGCTCTTAGTCATGTATACTTTAATCTTTGCATACATTTTTCTTAATGCTGAAAATGTTGCAGAGAAATAAATTTCAAAAAATCTTGATTATAACGCATTCGTCAACATAATGCGATTAAATAGTAATATTTATCATCAGTTAAATGCAGTCATTCGCAGTATGTAATCTTGTTCAGAGATTTTTTTCGATTAATATTATGCATAATCTTAATGACATAAATTTTAATGAATATCAAGAAGATATTAAAGTAGAAGTAACTCGGCTTTACGCGATTTTAGCGCAGCATTTCTCTTTCCCTTTTCTTTAATTCGATTTATTTACATCATTCAGTGTATTTAAAATCGTTAAATTTTCTATATATACATATATCTATAATATAAAATTCTCGAATTTTTCTGTATTTTAATAACATAATGAAAAAATATTAAATTATTGCTTTTTAAAATAATTACGGATTGAAAAATTTAAATAATTAATTTTTCATTTTTACATTGTTATTTTGTTTTTAAGCATCTGAAAAATTCGATACAAACTAGCTATCCTGAAAGATACGGGAATAGTACGGAAATTGCAGGCTCGTGATGAAAATGCTACTTTGCGTGTACTTCATCCGCTAGGAAGAATTAATCGGTTTCCGCGATTCGTTCCACGTTTATATACTATACATACGCCGTGGCAATCCGTTCTGCAAAACCCTCGCAAATAGGAAAACGTGATTAATCGAGATTCGCTTGGACATGTTTTTTTCTGTACCCGCAGACGAAGCGCGTACCTCAAATTACTTGAATCTAGAGGCACGCTCTCGTCGACATGATTTCCCGTGCGAAAATTCAGTGCAGCTTTCCGCATCAAACCCCTAAGGGTTCGTCCGAAGTAGAACAAAGAAAAATCAGACGCGAACATAATGATAGACTTGGATTTTCTTGCCAAAACTAACATAATCTTCCTATAATACGCGGACAGTGATGTGCTTTCATCTGCAACGATCTCATTGCTCTGTCATATACACAAATGAAATTATATTCTATACGAATATAATTTATCGGTTATATCTAACAGATATTTCACTTTCTCTTATATTATTTCAAACAATTTGACATAGCTTTCTGAAATTAAAAAATCAAAAATGACCTATTATATATTTTCTTTAAATTTTTGTAAACGGACGATGTTAATTAATTTACGATCGAACGAAACATTACATATCTCTGACGATGCGTTCTCATAAGTATTTAACACATCGCTCTTGCAGATTCGCCGACCGTGAAAATCACCCCCCGGCCGAAATCACTTTCCCCCTTCCTCGCATATCGATCCCGACTCACGTATCAACCTCTGTGGCTCTGTCCCCCTTTATCTCTTTCACACCCTCTCCCCCCCCCTCTCTCTCTCTTCTCCCTCAGAATGCACACGAATTAACGTGCCCTCGTTCTGTTCTCGCATTGCAGATACAAATCAATTCGTTGCGTGAACGTGGGCGTTAGCCGCGAAAACGGGGCGACTGGCGGTACCGGAGGCGGTTCAGGTACTGCAGGCGGCCGCGGCGGCGGCGGGGGCGGTGGTGGCGTGGTGCCTCCTGCACCACCGACTACCGGCCATCACCACCACCACCATCACCATCATCATCACCTCACCACCACGACTACCACGACTACCACCACCACCACCACCTGCGGCACCAGACACCACAGGCACAAACTGCCTGCCGGCAAGCAGTGCACGGAACACCGTCACCACCCACATCACCACCGGCATCACCCACACCATCGCTCCCACCACCGGGGCATGAACATGGGCCAAAAGATTTCAGGTTAGCCGCAGAACATAAACTAAGGCACTATAATATGAGTATTCACATCCGCCATTTTTAGTTCTTTTCTCAATCTCTTGCTCCTTTTCTCAATCCCTTGCTCTCTTTCTCTCTCTCTCTCTCTCTCTCCCCCTCCCTCTCTTTCTCTCTCCCTCTCCCTCCACTCTGCCGCTAAATTAAGAAGATTGAAGAGAGAACAAAGAGTGGGGAAGGGACTAAAAATGGCGGATGCGAATACCTATATTACAGCTCTAATCATCCATCATGCAGCACAGATTAAATTTGTCACCCTAAAAAAAAAAATAAATAAATAAGGTTAAAAGGAAAACTAAAAAATTAATAAATCTTCAATTAAATCTTTGTAAATATATATATATATATACAGGGTGTCATAGCTGTTGAACCAATTTTTTACCCTACAAGAAAATTATCGACCTCACATCTGATTATCGACTTAGCGATACAAATTAAAAACGTGGATATATCGTGCGAATTGCTGGACGCACTGAAAAAAGGCGCATTTAATAATTTTTACAACTCAACGTCAAACGTGCCTATTTTTGCGCTCAAATCAGCAATTTGCAGTTATTCTTGCATCCAATCTATATCGTTAACTCTATATCGTTAATCGTTAAATATATAGGATGTTTCAAAATAATTACCAAATATTTTATAAGCAGATAGCGAATTAAGCACTGCAGCGTACACTGATACAATTAAATATATTACTCTAAAATGTTCCTTTTCTTCCTTAAAACATTTTTATTCCATTAAAAAATTTTTTTTAATAAATATGACAAATTCAGTTATTGACAGACTAATGTACTGACTTATTAACTAATGAATCAATGCGTTTGATTTGTAAAATTTTATACATATGATATTTAATAAATCAATTTACTGAATCTATGAACATATTTATTAGAAAAATTTTTTCAGGTATGTATGACATATTTAAGTATAGTTTATCAAATTATTACATATCGTTACGTATAAATTTTATCCGTAAACGGATTGGAGCGACTAAAATATTTTTCAGAATAACTTACCTTGCGAAGCATTTATCGAGGATCAAGGTCCTTGACCGCCCTTCACTTTACCTGCTCAGGTAGAGTTTGGAACTGGTCCTTTAGTCGAATGCTTTGCTCCCTCAAAATGGTCGAAGTTTTCTCCTGATCATCTTCTCTCTTTCTCTTCCGAAATATTTCGTGTGCTATCTAAACCCATAATTATCTTGTATTTACATTTTTATTGTGATAATGAAAATGTCTAATGCAAGATTACTTAAAGGAGAAAATAGTTTATCTTTGTACAAAAGATAATTTACGATAATAAAATTATTCTCTTAACAAAAATAATTTACACGCACGATATTATATATTTATCGATGCAATATTACTTGCATTAACGCAACAAATTATTTAGAAATTATGCGTAAATGCTTTAATAATTATTTTGATTTACATAATAATTATATATTAAATAGATACTTTTATTTGAAAAAAATGATTGAAAATTTGAAAATATACATGGTCCTATTGAATAATTTTTATTATCTTTCTTCTTAGTATTTCGTAATTTATATCAAATTATTTTCTTAATAACAATACTTTTATTATTAAAATTTGTCTACCACCATATAATCTGAATCTTTATCTGAAGATTTGGATATGCAACTGATGATTAGATTCGTTAAAAATATTAGGTGTTGGAATTAATTCGTAGCGTTTTTTAATGAAAGAATGTTATTTATTTCACATGAGCATTAAAAAATACATTAATGAAAGTACTTCCCATCACTTGTAAAACGCTACGAATTAATTCCAACACCTAATATTACAAATTCTTTCCCTTTTTGATCAAGATTCTTATCTTATTTTTATTTTGAAACACTTAAATTCGCTTTTAATTTCTTATTGCTCGTCAAGTTATACTCTATATATCATCAAAGTTCAATACCGCCATAAAATAATTACGTTGCAGATAATTACTTAACACATATGACGATTCTCATTAAAAGATTTACGAATTCTTCTTACAGACAGTTCTCACTAAAAATAATCACCACTATTATTAATCTCTTTGATTATTCATTTTACTACGTACTTATAATTTTTTTACCAGATTCTGGCGAGTTGAATTCTTTTCGAATAAATTTCTTGATTTCTTCAAAACTTTCTTCTTCAATTCCATTTTCAAACATTTTTTTTAATTTTAAAACAAAAAGTCAATTACAAATATTGGCAAATATTGTTTAATTTGCGTCTCAGTGACACTTGGCATGAATATAAATGTTCACTTCTTATTGAAAGAGATTGAATTCGACTCGAAGGCTCGTGAGAAATGACCGACAAAAATTTCAAGAAGATGACGCTCGCATACTTGGCTCGAGCTGCGTCTGCGCAATAAATCTCGCTCCGATCAATAGCGACACCGTCGAATAGCTCGTCGGTATGTTCGCATTAACAAGGTGAATATTTAAATGAGAGCAACCGGTGTCATTAATACATATGTACATTTAATTTTACTTCTTCTATCCATATTCAGGCTAAATCTATGAGTGCATTCAGAACAACAACCGCTTACTGAGCTTACTCAATGACTCTTTCATCTGATTGGTCTATATTTTAAGATCTAATGGAATGCCATGGTCGTGAATTGTGCACCTTATGATTCGACTGCGATTGTAAAATTTATTATCTGATATCTTATTGTATTTAACATGAACTGAAACACAGAAGCAAGGAATTCCGATGAGAATATATTTGAAAAAAGGTTTTCTATGACTAAGCTAAGTATGCACTTTCAAAACTTAAAGTGAGGTATATGTTTGATATTTGTCGAAAGTGAGAAAGAATTTAATGCGGTCTAGTATAGGAATAGAAAACAGAGATTCCGATATATTCGGAGGATATCTTCGGAGGGATCGAGTCTCATACGGGGCCTCCATGAAAGAGCCTTTCTTATTTCCTTATCCCTTTTCAGACCCTATGAAATTTTTGCTGTAGTTCTTCTACGATCCCACAGGAACAGCTGCTCAGGCAAATAAACTGGTAGTCCAAGGATATCGTGCGTCAACCTTTCCAGAACCTTCCGCCGCCGGACCCACCATTATTTCTCTTGGTCGTTGTCTTGCTTTTATTTTCTTGTTGCCCCCGTTCTTGCCAAACATTCTTACCGTCGCATACCTACCAGGTATCCAGCCGTGATTGTTCGCAAACGATATCTGAATCTTGAATGAGGATTTATCGTAGAAATGTCCGCATTGAAACACATAAGTTTTCAGTTCAATCAATATCTTTTGCACAATGCCATTAATTTTCATATTAACAGATATTGATTTACTTGAAATATCTCAAATCTATCGGCGCAACTTACTGGAGATATTATTTCTTCTTAAAATATAGTTTCTCCCAATAATATTTTTATTACTTCTTGTTTTTACATATACGTTTACTGACACCGATGAGATACTACTTAAGTAGGTACGATCGAAAAATGTTTCAATCTATCTAAAAATTATACAGAATATTATTTAAAACGAAACTATGTTAAAATTTCAAACCGATTGACCGTGTCATTTTTAAGAAAGAGTTAAAGTTGGAGTTTTGTGCATAGTGTCTTATGGCAAATGCATTGAATGATCGATATATTACATAATTACTTATTTTTAAAGTGCTTTGATCTACATAAAAAACATATAAATAGTTAGAATAAATCTTTTTTTACATCCTTGTAAGAATTTTAACTCTATTCACCATGTAATTTATTTGTATACAAGCAAAAACCTGATGAAAGCATGTCTTTATTTGAGCATCTAAAGAAATATACGCGGAAAACTTGGCACGCTGTTGATTTCCGATGTTAGGTTAAATTGCGGCTTATTTTATTTTATTTTATGACACACGTGTAATTAAATATATGTTTCTTGCTTATAACTTATTGTTATGTTTTTAATTAAGAAAGCTATTAGGTGTTGGAATTAATTCGTAGCGTTTTACAAGTGATGGGAAGTACTTTCATTAATGTATTTTTTAATGCTCATGTGAAATAAATAACATTCTTTCATTAAAAAACGCTACGAATTAATTCCAACACCTAATATAACAATTATTACTGCAAAAAAAATGCAGTAAAATATATTTAAAAATATATACTAAAATATATAAAAAAAATGATACTAATATATAAATGTACATGTATTAACATACAAATAATCCACTCAATATTCAATATAATTAATCCTCTTCGTAATTAATAAATTGATTTATAAAAATCCTCCGTATATTAATAAATTGATTTATAAAAAGATATTTTTTTTTAATTTAGTACAATATTTATTTTATTTATTACAACATTAATCTTATATTATGTATTAACATTTTTATTTAACATTATAATAAAAAAAATACGTGTTTTTTTTTAAGATATTGATACAATTATATAAATATGTATTAATAATGTTAATTTAATATAATTATAACGTTTAAAATATTAAAACGTAACTTTTATCATATGATTTTTATCATATAATTTATATCACATAATTCGTAATATTAAAATTAAAGCATTTTTTTAGTATAAAATAATTATCAATTAGTTATGAATTATAGTTATGAATTCATTAATTAGCCTTTATAACGAAGTATCTTCGTATAAAATAACTGTAAAACACGTATATGAAAATAATATTTTAATCTCAATTAATTATCAATTATTAACTGTCAATTATTAGTGCGCAAAAAGTTTCGAGTAGAAATGCCAACCTCATTTTCAGAATGCAACGTTGCCAAATTATCGATATAATCATTGAATTATCGATACAATCATAAAACATTAAATTACTTGCATCTTTTAATAATAGAATATTAATATTATGATTTATAATTATATAAAAATTAGCAATCAATGTTATCTTTTCATTTTAATAAATCATAAATTAGCCTTTCTTATTATTAAAAGATTTCATATATTGAGTTGATATTACCAATAAAAAACAATAGTGTTCCTTCCTCACCTACCCCATCGATCGTACATCACTTAAAGACAGCCGACCCTGAACAAATTTTCGTAAGTATCATTGAAGCCTCGAGGGATCGCGGATAATTGAAGAACAATGACATTATTAATTAATAATAATTGGCGGTTATTAACATAAATATTTCGATAACACATTATTAAATTCGTAATTTTTTTATTATATAAATATTGTCTTAATAAAAATACATATTTTTAATGTTATAATATCTTATATATATTGTCGAACAACTTTTTCTTTGCAGTTATCATCTGTATTGATAATCAAATTCGGATGATGACATTAAAATTACAGTTTTAAATAGAAATCGAATTTTATTAAGTTTTAAACATATATACATGTCTACTTATAAATCATAATTAATGCCATATCAGTTTCTTATTCTTAGACCAGTATTCATAGTCCGTTCTTATTTCAAGATCATCTTAAATAATGTAAATTTAAGTAATTTTAAGATGCTAATAACGGTCCTCTGATTGGTTCGTAACTTCTTAAGACTATACTTATGACATTCTTGAATATGAAATCTAACTATGAATATTGGTCTATGATTGGTTCATTTCTTATGGCTTAAGGCTTAGAAATCTACTGTAAATCCAAATTAAAACTCTTTCTATCTCTCCCTCTCTTTTGGCTTTAAAGAAAGAAAATAGAGTTTTAAGCCTCGTTCAAAGTCAAAGTATGTTACAATCGGACCTTAAGGATCGACAGAAGTGACAAGCCAACTCATTTATACATCATTTGTGGTACAGCTATATCTGCACTCTAACATATATTGTCTATACTGAAAAAAAAGATTGGCTGCAATAGCCAATTTTTTGTTACTGCAGTTTGGTTGTGTTAGCCTATCCGCAATGTCAGTATAGGATTTCGATTAACTAATGCAACCAAGAATTGACTGCTGCAGTCAAATAAGAATACCAAGCCATATTTTATCATCTAATTCGCTGCAGCAGCCAATCTTTTCTTTCAATGTAGAAGAAATATTTTGCCATAAAATTCGTTTTGGATTATGTTTTATAAAGCTACAGAACCTATTAAAGAATCGAATTTTGCAATTTCATTCTTAAAAACAGTTTAATGAATAAATAGTTTTCTCCTTATTTACGGTGCATAGGTTTTTATTATTATTGATATTACATCTTCAAGAAATAATATTACTTTTTACTTTTTTTTCCTAAAAAATTGCTCTGTACGATTATATAGACACTTTTCTGATTATAAATATCGCAATTAAAAAAAAACGCGATTCATTCAATATTTTAGCCGTAATTTCAGCATAAAGAAATTTCTTTAACTAGAAATCTCCATAATCTCTCCTATCGACTCTTAATCTTTTTACAATTTTTTACTAAATTTTTTTTTAAATTGGTACAATCTATAGTAATTTTTTAGTCAAATTTCTACATTCAGCTTTTAAATTGGCAACACTATCTGTAATAAGCAGTGGAGAAAGTTCAAATAGTCGTTCTACTAGCATGAATTCTAATTGGCTGTTGCTTTTCTGCCAAAGTGTGAACGCGCCCTTATGCTTCCTACACGCTGGACGCGGAAACACTTATCACACGGCAAAATATGACACGGTAGCCTATACAATAAGCTTACTTGTAACATGTTCATTGGTTACTGCGTCGCATTTTGTCGCGCGGCAAGCATTTCCACATCTAGTTGAAGAGAATCATGAACGCGGTAATTCAAATGGATATATTAATCGGCGCATAATCCGGGCTCTAGTGATTATGTATTAATAATTTTAAATTGAGATAACTATACATTAAGCGAATCCCTTATCACAATAAACATTTTACATAACTATAGTCTTTCGAGCCGGATCGGCGAGACGTATGTGCGAGGATCGGTAGAGACAATACAAGCGACAATTAAACTCTTGACAAGACATTGCAATTAACATCGTACGTTGATTTAATAAGAGATATAATCATTTGGAATATTCAACTCGGCTATAGAATATTGACGACAGTTTTAGTCGACTTCCGACGATCACAATTTATTTTATCAAAAGAAAAGATACCTTGTTGTTTTTTTTGTGATTCCTTACAACAAACTATTTTCAAGGCTCATCAAGATAATAATTAAAGGAGCACAAGGTAAATGCAAAACTATTACGAAAGCAACAAGGGTATCTTGAGGCAAAATTAATATCGATGAAAAACTTCGTGAATCGTATTGCTGACGATTTAAAAAGCACATCACGAGAAGAAATTAAAGCACGTTTTGAAAAATTGAACAACGCATACAATATATAAATTCCAAGCAATTTCGCAACAACTGGCGGCACTGATCTCCGAATAGGAATACCAGGAAAAGAAGAACGAGAGACAGATTTTGACGAGCGATACTTCACTTTGACAGCATCATTATTATATATTAATAAACTTCAACCAATGTTTCGCGCATCATCGCTGGACAGCGAGGATCGATCCGGTAATAATCCGCTTGCACAAGTATTGGAGCAAGAAGCTACACTGATGCAGTAATTATTATTGGAGCGATCCAACGAGATACATGGAACCGACGCGTTATTACGAGTACTAAAGCAGCAGGCTCCTTTAATTAAAAAATTATCAGACCTATCTAATGAAACTAATGGTACCTTATTACGAATATTGGGGCAACAGTTTCGATTGCTGAAGGCGTGATCGTACGTGTGAGTGCGTCACGAGAGCCATAAGTAAAACTATCAATCACAAAATTATCAACATTTGATGGGAGCATTAAAGAATGGAAGAGATACTCCGATACAGAGAGAGAGAGAGAATTTAACAGATACACGATAGTGATCTGTTGAATGTACAGAAACATCAATATTTAGTCGGATCATGAACCGGGTCAGCGGCAAAAATAATAGAGTCAATTAAAATTTCGAATCAAAACTATACAATCGTATGGAAATTGTTGAAGAAATGATACAAGGATAAACGGGTTATTCGCAAGCGGCATATTCAGTGTTTATTTTAAATAATTCTGTGTGTTTATTTTAAATAATTCCGCAGATGCAGCGGAAGTCGATGGTTGGTCATCCAGAATTTTTTGGACTACGTCTAGAAACACTTGGAAGTTCTACATTCCATAAAATCGCCTATCAAATCATGGGGAAAATTAATTGTTCATTTGATTAAGAAACGTTCGAATATGGTCACGAAATGACGATGAAAGGAGACACATTGAAAAAAGAGAAGTTGTAACGACGAGTGTCATAATAGATTTTTCATAGCGTTGATGCCAGATATTGAAGCGGGTATTCTTAAGTTACTAAATGTAAAAGACACGAAGGATAATAAATCGAAACGCGACGATTGTAATGAAAATATTCGACAACAGTTCATTACACAACTGTTCAAACGGGACGATGTTACCTGTGTCAAGGATGACATCTGATCTACGCATGTAAACAATTTTGGAAACTATCGCCCGAAGAAAGAACGCGAGAAGTTAAACGGATAAAGCTGTGCATTAATTGTCTTCGAGATAATCACTTTGTGAAGAACTGGAAATTCGATTTGTAGTGAGAATATAGAGAGAAACACGACACATTGTGTCATTTCACGCAGAAGACAAATGGTCCGATTGCGAGTTTTGAAAAAAGTCAATTACAACGTCACAAGAATTAAAAGGGAGAACTGTTGCAATTTCAATGACTGAGAAAGATCAAGTAATGAAATCATCGATAAAGTTATCGAATGGACCATCTGTGCATCTCATATTAAACAGAATCGAACGTAAGCAAATTCTAATGTCAACGGCTATTGTTAATGTCAAAATAGATAATGGTTACAATTATCAATTGCGAGTTCTACTCGACAGTGCAAGCGAAACTAATTTTGTGACATCTTGTAAACGCTTACATTTAAATGATATCATGAGTCAATAAATGGTTTGAACGATATGAACTGTCACATAAAGAATAGTTGTCAACTGCAAATAAGATCCCGCGTGTCAGCTTTCGAATTGGAATTATACCGTCTGGTTATTCCGCCTGTAACTAAGGAATTGCTATCGTTTGCGATAAATTTTAGCATCGCAGAGATTTTTTCTAAATATCCGATATATTTTGACATCTTTTCTCATCTATATCTTTCGATTTCTTGCCAGAAATTTTATATATGTAGAATATATATTTTTATCATTCTTCAACTATATATATATATAGAGGAAGAGAGAGAGAGAGAGAGAGAGAGAGAGAGAAAGTTTACAGTGAAAAAAATGATTAAAAAAAATTGAAACGTAAAATTTTTTCATGTGAAGTCTAAAATTTATTTTCAAAATATACATCAAGCACGAATGTACCATCGTTTATCTTTTTCTATTATTTGTCTGGCTGCAATTGATGCGTCGCGACACAAGTGCTCAAAGTCAATCAAATTGTATGCGTGTGTGTGATGTATTTCTTTTTCATATCTTTCCACATCGTGATAAACTTTACAAAAATGGAGTTATATGTACTAACAAAGTTATAAAACTGCGATAAATACGATCGTCAAACCATTCTGAGGATTAGTATTTATAAACACAGACCTGCGCAGAAATGATGGAATTCATAGAACAAAATAAAGTTTTAATCATGCGTATGTTCAACGACTGTGAAAGTGGATTCCCCAAAACAGAGACTTCTATAGAAATATTTTGTTTCCTATTTGCCTTTATATACATAAAGAATAATCACAAAGCGTTATAAGAATAGATATAGCCACAGTTGTCCGTTCTATAATGAATTCGTGATTGCTGCGTGCTAGTGCACTCTTAAAAAGGCTCATGTCGGTCACATTACATATTTTAGTCGAGATGCTGGTTACATTTAGATAACTTTATCGGCAGCAAAGCCTTTATTTGTACATCGAAAGTGAAATCAAGTATGGCTGTACAAAACTCGTTGCGTAAACGAACATAGACATTGTAGAGTCCGACTGGGACTGAATTTATTTCTCTTTTCCAGGCGGCGTGAAGAGCATGAGCCGGGAGAGTGGTGCCGGAGCCGGCGGCGGGGTCGGTGTTGGCGGTGGCAACAACACGACGTATACACGATCGGTGATACCGCGCGAACTGGCCCAGGACTTCGCGAGGCCGCCACGCCTCGATGTGCTTCTCGACATGCCGCCAGCCTCGCGAGAAACACAAGTCCATCACAGCTGGAACGCCGATGATCGTAGTCTAAATATTTTTGTCAAGGTATTGATTACGATTAGAAATATCGATAGCTCTTGAAAAATCTTAAAAAATATATACAATTTTGTAACTATATAATTTATCCTTGTTAATCGGACGTTTAGTTCCCGCATTAAAGGATCCCGCATTAATTATATGGAAAAAATTCAGTCAAATTGGTTGAAATTAATTTTGTAATCAGCGTAAACTTATGCTGATGAATAACTTCCATTGTCACAGTCATTAAAAATGAACATATTTTATTGTAGCTTTATTTTAAAGTTATTATTTCGAATCTAATCGTATCTTTATCTATAATACAGTTTTTTTTTAATTGTATAAGCATTGTAAATACGTATGTAATCATACATCCTTTATTAGAAGGAGTTAATGTCTCAGCGTGCGTAGATAGGGAGCGATGATGTGAGCGATGATATGTATATGTATCGGTATGTGTGTATCTCTGTTGATGGCTCTTCCATTAGTATGTCTGATATTATTACATATGGACACATATAGGGTTATGTCTAAATGCTTATACAGTTAAAATAATGAACTGTATATTGTAGATAAATATACTTTTCCGATTAGATCTAACAAAATAGCAGCTTTCAAATAGTGTTACAGCAAATCTATCCATTTTTAACAATTGCGTGTATATGGAGACTTTTAATCAATATCTTATAAGGTATAAAATATCAAAGTTTCAATCAATTTAACTGAAATTTTTTCCATAAGTACGGGATCCTTTCTTGATAATTCTAGTTGTTGTAACTGTTTCAAAATTACATAAATATTAGTCTCCCTTAAATAATCACAAAATAATCGAAAATATAGAGAGACTATGATTTTCACTCTTATTATCGTATAACTCATTCGAACTTATAATTAGACTATTAACAAATTTATGATTCTTTGATCAATACTATCTGATATGAATTCGTTTACTTTATCCATGTTACTTTGCTATCACTTTATTGATGTGTTTTCAAGTTTATAAGGTGTACTTTAGATTAGAATTTTGACAAATCGAGTTTCTCAGTTTAAACTGTTTTCGTTATTTTTCCTAGGAGGACGACAAGTTAACGTTTCATCGACATCCCGTCGCGCAAAGTACAGATTGCATACGAGGGAAAGTGGGGTATACCAAGGGTATGCACGTATGGGAGCTTTATTGGAGCACGAGGCAACGAGGTACGCATGCCGTCGTAGGAGTAGCAACGGCGGATGCACCTTTACATAGTGTCGGCTACCAGAGTTTGGTAGGGAATAACGAGCTCAGTTGGGGTTGGGATCTTGGTAGAAATAAACTCTATCATGACTCAAGAAACAACACTGGCGTGACGTATCCAGCCCTCCTCAAGTCTGACGAAACGTTTATTGTTCCTGATAAATTTCTTGGTAAATAATTCCTATATAATTGCAATTGCACGGTCGTGTAATTTTGAGAATTTGATGAAATATCAAAAAGTGTTAATCAATATTAATCAGAGATTTCTTCAAATCATAAAATAAATTAGAAATTTCTTTATGAGTATCTTAAACTTATTACAATTTTTCTTCACAGTTGTCCTTGATATGGACGAAGGTACGTTAGCGTTCGTAGTGGATGGTCAGTATCTTGGAGTAGCATTCAGAGGGCTTAAAGGAAGGAAATTGCATCCTATTGTGTCCGCCGTCTGGGGACATTGCGAGATCACGATGAAATACATCGGCGGACTTGATCGTAAGCGAATAATCATAATGACTTACTCATAACACAATACTTTTAAAAATATGCAACATCAATCTTACGAAGATATTTATATCTTAATAGATCATTTTTCTTGGTTCATTTTTTAAATATTTATTTAATGAATATTTATTAAATATTAAGACAACGAGTGACTAAAATACATTTGTCAAATTTTATTGCGCATTGTCGCGGTCCTTCTTTTAATTAGATGCTTATTTCTTTTCCACAGCCGAACCTCTGCCTCTCATGGATCTCTGTCGAAGAGTGATTCGACAGCGAATCGGTAAACATAGACTAGAAGACAAGATCAATGAGCTAAATCTACCGCAGACGATGAAGACTTATCTTCTATACCGGGACAGAAGGTAACCACTGAGTGAATCTCCTCAAGATGCCACGATTATGACTGCGAACATCACCGTGTTAGAACGTTGCCACTACGACTCACAGGCGACCGTCCGCTATCCTCTCACACACCAAGAACAGCAACCCCTTAGCTGCGCGTCTCCGTTAATCAAGCGCACGATGTTGAATAGACTGACATGCGTCATGCGCCGACGCATCGAGACACGCCTAGTACTTCGAGAAGGCGCGCTAAGAGAACGATGCCGAAATACCGTATTGATAACTTGTGGCACCCTTATTAAAACAAGTCATAATGACCGCAATCTTCGCAGACGTTATTACTATCGCCGATAAGTTCAACTCGATGAAGGCAAAGTTAAGAAAAATGAAAAAAAGGATTTTAACAAGACTTAGAAAAAAACGTTTCTAAATTTAGTTGTTTTTAATGTTGTTTTAAGTTGCTTATTGTTGTCTCTGTTTTATGTTTCTTGTGCTTCTATCTATGAAGATAGAGAATTATTATTTATTGATTATTAGAAAGTTGTACCGAAAAGACCGATGATTTCGGTACTTACGCATTTGTGTATATATACTTATGCATTTCTTTTAAATATTCGTTTTACTGACGATACATGTACAAGATGAATAGTATTGTATCAGACGATGGGGATGAGGTACGACAATGTGCGCAATGTCACATGGTTAGAGACGAAAGGCAAAAGATTATCCGAAAACACGAAGAAACATAGCGCTTCGCAGTTGGCCAGTAAAAAAAAAAATTAGACTTAATCAAGCTTGGAGACTGATACGGACGTGTCGCTTGCTTACAACGGTTGATCAATAGTGGATAGCGCTGCTGACTTTTAATCCTGCCGGGGCAGAAAAATGGTGAAACAACAAGAGGAAGAAAGCGAACCGAGGAAATAGAAGATACAAAGAAGGTTTTTACGTCGGAAATAGAAGATACGAAGAAAGTTTTTACGTCGGCGAATAATTAAAAATTGTCGACGAGGTGGTAATGGATTGCACAATTGTGGAACGATTAATTCAATTTCAAGTGTATAGTGATGGACATCGGGCAGCCACCTTTCAATAGACTCATTTTTCAAATATTTTCTAAGCATGCTAAATTTAATAAAGTATAGTGGTGTGTGCGTGTATCGTGGATGAATATAAAACAAAACAGAGACACGATGAGGGAGGCACGAAGGAGCAAGAGAATACAGTTAACCCTGCCATAATATTCTCTTTAGCAGTGTTCGAAAACATAGACTTTACAATTGCGAATTCTGCGGGGGAGAGACCGAGTGAAGAATGCAAACATAAAAAGGGTAAGCATCTAAAACTCGCGCTGTGGTGAATCGAATAAAAGACGTCTAAGTAAACTGAATAATGAAAAGCATGTTACTAAAATTAATTATCTACATCTAATTGATTTAAAGTGCTGTAATGACTTCCGAAAATAGTATGTATTTAACTAATGTTTAAGAGAAGCGAATGAATACACGGGCATTGGCACAAATTATTCCAAACGCGAATTAAAACTGTCATGGAGAACCGCTATGCAGCAAATCCGGTAAAAGGGTGACGAGTAACGATATCGATTACTCATCATAACGATTATCGGATTATCGATCGTAATAGTTACAATAACGACAATGACGACGATAAACAATGATGATTATATCGGATGTGTAACTATTATACTATTAGGATGTTGAATTATGAAAAATGATGAATTATGACTGGGCTCTAGTATCTCTTTACTCTTACGTTTGTCGCTTAGGTTAAAGACTATGCCACCGTCAACGGCTATGTCGATTTGTATATAGATATATTGATAATATTGTACGACGACGTATACGTGTGTATTATGGATGATGATTGTATACGGAAACAGGCAGACCGAATGCGAGAATGGTACCATCTTCATCGTTTCATACAAGCAAAACAATCATCTCGCGTCGTCAGACCTCCGTTTCGATATATCTTACTTTCTGACACACGGGCTTAATGCGGTTTAAAATCGCTTCGATTGTTAATCGCTATGATGTCATTGTTTGCATCATCGGCTTAAGCTCATCCGAGATTCGGATTGTATCGCGTCTTCCAAATTATCGTCAATCGTTCGTAGCGTTTATCTGATCATTCTAACTCTCATTGAACGTAATAAATCGCATTTGCTCTCATATCTGTGACGATTACGTTTCTTCTTGGTGCAATTTCCCGTGATGACCTGTTTGAATGAGCCCAGTGTTCGCATGCTGGACATTCTAACAATCATCACAAAGCGTTTGGAGAGATAGCCAGTTTCATGTCAATTCGCAACATTTTCAAAAGCACGATCTCGCACTCGGCAGCTTTTGATCATACAGCTTTGATGATTTTCATATCCGAGAGTGTGATCTATTAGCGACATTGTTTTCGCTATCTTTCATATCACGGAATTTGTAGAGAAAGTGCACAAATCTGTAACGCGAATAGATCGAATGATAAACGGACGGATGCGAAGACGACTCTTTGCGAGAAACGTATCATCTCTCCATCGACACGTCGTCGTCGAAGATATGTTCTGTCTTATGGTGGAAACTGGGAACGAGATAGAAAGAGAAACGCTGCAAGAGTGACGAAGAGGACTTCTGCACGGAAAGGAAGTCGTCCTCGTTGTTTTTACTGTACAGTAGCAGCGGATAATTTACTTTGTCATCTTTTATTCGGCGCCTGTGCATGAAGGCAAAATGTCGAAACAGTTCTCTCTAGCGGGAGGACTTTGCAGTTTGCATACCGCGATAGAAAAAAAAAATACGATTCTAAGTACGTGTACGAGGGGACATTACGTACCCGAAGACGCGCCTTAAGCGTTCACGATTCAATGTACATTCATTCATGTCGTTCATATATCGTTATACACGTGCGAGAAAACCGAGAACACTAGTACACGCGCGCGCGCACACCCTCAGAAAGGAAGGTTTTTTTCCGCAACTATACTTATTGCTACTCGTTGAACCGATACTGTTTTATATGAATTATTGCCTATAGGAACGCATGTCACGAGCCGAGCATGAAAGAGGACAAATAGGATGAAAATATTGTACAAAATTATTATTAATGATCAATATTAATATTATTACTGTATCGATCCCAATAGTTTTATTAATTACTCGGTCGTCGTTATCAGGTCGTCGTTATATTTACAATGTGTTAGTCAGGTATTTACAAATATTACGATATAATTGTGGTTTCAGTTTTTATACGATAGGAAGAAATATATATGCGGTCGATCGATTTAACAATTGAACATAACAGAGAATATCTTTACCACTATTCTCTTTTTCGAAGAATACTAAAAATTTTTTTATGATTTAAATTGATTTCATATTATTTAAAGTGACGGCTTGTTTCGAGCACAATGAAATAAAAGAAAAAAATTAAAAATGAAAATTAAATATATTCTAAGCTGTTTTATTTTGATATTGATATTTATATATCAAAAAATAAATTACTAATAAAAAGATAGAGCAATTTGGTTTTTTTGGTCAGTCTTAATTAAAAATTTAATTTCCAATGATAAAATTGTTATTACATTACTTTTCATTTGTATATTTTTAATCATATTTATGATAAAATTAATATACATTATTATAAAGTATGTATTGTATGATACAACAATTAAACTTTATTTTAAAATATTTATAATTAATTTTAAAATAAAACAGATTTACTTAATGTAAAGATATAATATGTGTTTAAATTGTTTAATCGTCAATTAAAGTTCGATATTTATAAATTTGAATTTATTTATTGATCTGTACTTACATTACTTTTTACTGATACAGATCAATAATGTTTTTATGAAAAGAAAACAATTTTTTCATTATTTTTTCAAAATAATTTACTACAACTAAAAATGTAAATTAGTATAAAGAAAAAGATACCAAATATGCATAATCTAGTTTTATTATATCTAATTCAATCCAATGTTAGAATGTCATAAAATGCGGAATAAAATAGATCAAAAAATTAAATTATATTTAAACTCAATATATAACTCATATATACATACATCTGGATTGAATTATATCTCAATTTAAAAAATCGGTAAAGTCAGCTATCGTATAATTCATAATTTTATGATTTCACAGTACATTTTTTTATGGAGCTTATACGGGTATATATTTTATTTTACATTTTTACAAGTAAGCTTTTTACTCCTGAAACTGAAAAGATAGTTGGACTGTCCCGATTTTTAATTTACATCGATCGATCGCATACAACGATAAGTACAGGCAAGCTAGCTTTTAATAATAAAACCGCGATAGCGAGTCCAATTCGTTCACATGCGCCGCGGAAAGTGTTCCAGCAAAATTCGCGTGGCTGTTGCAAGGATTAATTTCCGTGAACTGCCTGCCCACCTGCCCTTGCAAACTACGTTGCCTCGACAAATATGTCTAATTTATTAATGAAATGTGTAATGGGACGATAATTAGCGAGTTCAATCAGTTTAATTGAATGCTAGTACTCTAAAAAGAACAGGAAGTATGTGTAAGAAAGAGAGCGAGAACATGTTAGTATGTTTGTATGCGCGTGATGCGCGTTGAATGTATACTGCATGCATACGTGAATGTTGTGAATACTTATTCATGACTTATTTTTTCTTCCGCTTTTTCGTTCGCAAATTGTTATTGCTTGATTTTGAATTTTATCAAAGTGTCGTATTAGTCGTGGTCCAGAAATAAATTTCGGTTTTCTCATGATAATAGCTCAACAATTGCTCTGTAGAATACATTATTGTTTGATAATATGTAATAACATCTAATATTAGCTACAGGAATAAACATGAAAAGAAAAGATTTTCGTAGGAATTGTTTCTTATACAACTATCTACGTGAATGAAATAGTGCTGAAACTGCACACGAGTTCAACATTTGATCAAGAATTAATTATTAAATACACAATTTAGTTAATTGTAAAATTTTCAAATTTTTTTAGTTATAAAAGCCATAAAAGTGTGTTTTGATGAATTAAGAATTATTTTATCCCAAGACTATTTTTCAAAGCAGAATAAAATAACCCTTCAGAATTTTAAACATTTAAATATTATAATTATAAACTATGATGTATATTAGAGCTCAAGAAATTTTAAAATTAAAATATGCCTTAAAAAATTATAATATTTTCAGAAATATGTTATTTTAAATATTAAATTTATGATGATTCCACTGTGTTTAAAAATTTGTATATTTATGAATAGAAATCTCTTTTTACTATTTTTTAAACAAATTTTATTTTATAGAAGACTAAAATTTTAGAAAAATAATTTGTTATCATTTTATATATAATAGCCTATGTATTTGTTTTTGTATCGATCGAAGCAAGGAAATTTTATCATTTTCAAACACAATTCAGGTGGAATCTTATTATTTTAATGCATCTTCTTCTAATATTAAAAATAACATTGAATTAGAAAATTGAAACTCATTTATAGGAAATAAATAAAATAACATCAAAACATATTGTTCATATATAGATTGAAAATATAATTTGCTATCTATACATTATGAAACATATTTTGATTGTAAAGTCTCATATTTTTTATTTATTTCCTATTGAAATTTGTTAAATTGTATAATTACATAAACCATGCATCTTATATGCAGTGTAAGAATATTATGTGTCGATATTTTTGCAATTTGCTTTTATTGTAAATAAATAATTTTTAAACGATATTTTATAATTAATAAATCTCAATTTATATCTATTAATAAAAGTAAAATATAGATATGTTGACTACCTAAGTATAATTAAAAAACTTTATTTAATAGAATGAAATATACATTTTTTAGTAATTGAATAAATAAATAAATATTAGTGTTAAGATAAGATTGACGATCACTGTCAAAAAGACGAAGTTACTTGTATAAAATTGTATAAATAATGATAATATTATACATAATATTTGATATACATTTAGAAATATACTAAACGTACAAAATTATAAATATTTTAAAATTATATATGTATGTAGATACTTACTTGAGTTATATATATATAGATACTACTATTTTTAATTATTTAAAAGTTTTTGTCAAATTTACGATACATTGACAAAGAAATATTTTACAAAAAAATTAATATTTTAAAAAAGTTATTTCCGCATAAAATTTACATCTTTCAAAAATGAATAAGAATCTGGATTAAGATTTTATCCTGTTCCAAATTCACCAAATTGTTATAAAAAAGCCTTTTATAATAATTGGAAACAATTATCGAAGTCACTCTATATAAAATTAGTTTCCTAAAATTAAAAATAACTGAAAATTAAAAAATTTTTAATTGTAAAAGAATTTAGCATTAATCATTTAACATAATTAAAAGACATTTGAAAAACCAAGTTAACTGCGTTTATTTCAGTTTTTCTCAGAGCACTGTAATCTCGAACAGTCTTAGATATTTAGGGATAAGTTCATAAAAGAATTCTATTGTTCCGGTGTTCATATCTGTTCTGATCTCAAGATCAGATCCATCTTAAGTAATGTATTAAGATACTAATATTGCTCTCTCATTGGTTCATGTATTTTAAGTCTGTACTTGAGATGATCTTAAATATAAGAATCGATTATGAATACCGGTCTAAAATATCACAAGATTATGTTCAAAAAATTATGTTTGAGTGAAAAAATGAATTTAAAACGCTACGAATTAATTCCAACACCTAATATTAAAATGAAAAATGAAAATCACTGAAATATTGTTGAAAATATTTCAGCATAAATAATTTAATATTTATATTAAAATATATTTAATATTTATATTAATTTATTCAAAGTTATTATACACTGATTATATTGAATTACCATGATTATACTGAAATACCATGAATATCTTAAAGATAATTATTGAAAATGCATAAAAAAAAAATAATGCGAAACATATAATACTTTTATACTTTATTTACAGTATATTGTAACTGAATATGTTAAAATATGCTAAATTCTGAGAAAAATAAATATTAATGAAAATACCTGAAAAGTAAATGAAATGAGAACGAAATATACAGATTTTTACAGATTTATTAATGAAAACGGAATAGGATAATTAAAATGTTAGAACTAGTTGAATGAAATTTGCTGAAAAATAATGAAAACATAACGAAAAACGTTTAATTTATCTTTCTAGAAGTGTCGCTAGATGATGTCGATTCTCGCACGTAAAATTTAATCATGCTCTCTATATAATCAGATTTATATTACCGAAATCAGATTATCTACAAGTTAAATTTACAGACAAGTTAAATTTACATTTGTATATCCATAGTAATCGATTTTGTTCCTCGGAAATTTTTACGAACTGAGAAGTCTTTTCTATATTAATGCTTACAGTTCATGCATGATTAACAATACAATTAAAATTCCGCTTACGATCACATTTTACATAAAGATGAAACAACTTGACTTTTCAGAAGTTTTAAATAAATAATAAATATTATAAATATACAGTGGAAGCAATTTTCAACAGCATGCAGAATACGATGAGTTGTAGGAAACTTTGGTTATTGTTAATTATGCAAGGACTGTGAGCATTAATATAGAAAGGTGAACATTTCAGTTCACGAAAATTTCTTAGAAAAAATTTCTTAGAATCGATTGTACAGTGGTGTACATGGTTTTTGCATGTATTCTAGTACATGCATTGTATTTTTGTATCAATGCATGGCTAAATATAACAATATTTTCTATTGAATTATTTATAAAATATTAACAAATTGCAATGAAATCTTAATAAAATAATACCGAAAATGGATCAATTAATCATCTCAATATTCAGTAATATTTCATTATTATTCATTACAATTTCAGTAACATTTCATCATTATTCATCACAATTTCAATAATATTGCATCATTATCTATTACAATTCGGGAACACATTTCCCATTAAAGCACTGTTCAAAAGATATTTTTCTTGACAGTTGCAATGTCATTCGATTGTTGCAATTTCAATACGAAGAAAAATGAAACAATGTTTCTTTTTTTATTGAGAGATTTAGAAAGGAAAGAGAGATACGTATATTTCCCGCGGTATATATGTGTCAATAATAACCGTGACATGACATTCAAAGGCGTTATGAGAGCTTTAGTATCGGATTTCAATCGATCGGTAATCTGTGGTTGAGTTTGATATGTAATGGGCGACATCAGAAAGTTTTTTACATCCTTCTTAATATTTGCCGATGTTTTTTCAATCAGATATATTCAGGGATTGAAACATATCTATACTTTATCATCTTGGTACGTCTCGCGTGTGCTATCTCCAATCTATCCTTCATCAAAGACGACGTGCATCTGCATTCAGCGGACCAAGAAGCACGGCTCCACGTTCAACGTTCTTCTCGTCGTCGTTTACAATGATAGTCACATCGTGAAACATTTCGACGCCAGAATTTCATACAAGCAGACAGATTTATCCTCGACAATTACGGCGTTATCACGCTGTTACGTATTTAAAACCGTAGAGTGTTTAATGTCTTCTCTTTTGAATTTTCTAAAGAGTTGCACTTTTAAATGGCAAAGTTAGTCCGTTTATTTTTTAAGTGGTAAAAAAATCGAAACTTATTTCTGGATAATTTGACATAAAGCTTTGTTTAGAATCAATTTGTGATTAAATATAATAATATCTTAAATATAATTTTAAATATTAGGTGTAGTAAAAAGAAATCCATTATTTTTCCAATTGATGGTTTAGTAATCTGTATCTCGCGAACGCGATAATATAATATAATCTTCTTGATGCTTCCATGGGTGCTTTCTATACAACTAATCTGTGTTTCGCGGATTTTCTCCATGTCTTGGTCCATTCTCCGTGGTCTTGTTTGTGTGTTTGTTGATTATTTTGGTTATGTCTTTTTTGTCGTTAGAAATGGTTTTCTATGTAGAAATGATTTTCTACGAACAAACGTCAGGAGCAGCGATGAGCTCTCCGATTTCTCCTGTAATCGCTAACATCTTCATGGAACACTTCGAGAAAGAGGCTCTCAAAAAAGCACCAAAGAAACCAGAAGTCTGGTTCCGGTACGTAGATGACACATTTGTGATATGGAGACACGGCAGATCTGAACTCCGAAAATTCCTCATCCACCTCAACAAACAACACCCCAATATCCGTTTCACCATAGAGGAAAATGGGAAACTCCCATTCCTAGATGTGCTGGTGTCAAAGGAGGCCAACGGCACCCTAGGGCATCAAGTGTACAGAAAAACAACACACACGGACAGATACTTACATGCTGAGTCACACCACCACCCAGCACAAAAACAATCAGTAATAAACTCTCTGGTACACAGAGCCTTCGCCATCTCCGACAGAGGACATCTACGGACAGAAATAAACCACCTAAAACAGGCCCTACAAAATAATGGACACGACAAAAAAGACATAACCAAAATAATCAACAAACACAAATAAGACAACGGCTCCGAACACACAAACAGACGACAGGACCCTAACCATTCTCCCTTACGTCAAAGGAACTACAGACCGGATCCGGC